GTCCCTGGTCCTGAATGAGCCCTGACCATCAAGATTTGGTCAGGTAGCACAGAGGTGGGAAGCTCCAGGTGTGAAGACAGCTTGAGGCCCTGCATTCCTCTTCCTCAGGGGCCTGCCATGCTTCCTCCTACACATGCTCAGCTCCACTTTCTATACCTTTCCTCAACCTTGTGCAAGTGTGGCCTCCATAACCCCATACAAGAAACCTATCCTGGGACTTAAAACCACTCTCCATTTCTTCCCTCCTAGTTGGACCCCACCCCACCTCACTTGCAGCTGAAAGCCCCAAGTCCTCTACCTGGCAAACCTTCCAGTCCCATCAGAAGTGAAAGTTCCTCCGAGCAGCCTTCCCTCACTGGTCCCATTCTCCCAGCTAAACATGGTAGCTAAGGACTAGATCAGCCCTTGTTCAGACAGAACAAAGCAAGGCAGAACTAGAGGGCTAGTACTCAGCAGTGCTGATTAAATAAATGTATGCATGCATGAATGCTGGGACTAATTTAATGGGTGGCAGTGGGCCGTGGGGAGGTTGCTGATACTACTGCAGGCCCACCCCAACCCAAGAGCAACGGCAGTATTATGTATGGCTCCAACCTAGGAGGCTTGGCTACAGCGGAGCACTTCCACTCTAGGAGCTAGAAGTTGGCCCCTCAACTCCCTAATAAGGCCTGGATCCAAACATCCTCCCATCCTTCCCCAGGCCTTCGCCCAGTTAGGTGGTGGTGGCAGAAAAAAGGAAGCAGAGACAGCAATGCAGTGAAGATCCAGGTTTACTCTTTGGGAATCGGGAGGGGAGAGGAGGAGGTGTGGGTGGGATGGGGGCGCCTCTCAGTAGTCAGCTGTATAATCTGTGCCATGTAGCCCCCGGCACAGCAGTGTGAATTCTTTCACCATCTCCTTCACCCGCCTCTTGTTCACTCGCTCACTGAAGGGAAAGGAGAGCAGGTTAGTACCGTCCACCACCACCACCCTCTCCTCTGGACCAGAGCCCAAGTGCCGCCGGCTCTGCTCACCGAAGGATCTGCTGGCTGAAGGTGTCCTTCTGTTCAGGGCTGAGGCGCGCGGAGGGAAAACCAGGTGGCTGTAGTGCCTCCTTGATCCACATGCTCAGGAGGCTGAAGCAGTGTTTGTTCAGAGCAAATAGGATGTCGGCAAAGCAGTCCATGAGGCTGCGGGAGGCCTGGCCCCCAATGGCCTGAGGGAGACGGGTTCTCAGCACACCAGGGCCTTGCCCCTTTTGCAGCAAGGGTGCCTAGCCATGCGCCACCCACTCCCAGACAGTTTCTCAGCCAAGCTGCACACGGTAAGTGCTGTTTTCTGAGAGCCAGCTGATCCTCACAGCAACCCTAACAACTGTCAGCCATTTAACTGCTGAAGAAACAGAGTCAGCTTAGGGAACCAAAGGCTCAAGCTTCCCAGAGGGCAGCTGCCTCAGGAGTGAGGGCCACTCCACCCCCATCAAAGCCCCATCAAACACCAGCTGCATCTCACCTCCAGCACTGCTACGAGCAGCACACGGCCATCCTCCTGTACCACTTTCCCCACAGGTTCTACTTCCCCACACCGAGGCAGCAGCTCTGTCTACGGAGGATGGAGAGGACTGTCAGCCTCAGCTCTTTCCCCACTCTCCCTGGGGACAAGACTTGCACACCATACCCCTACACTCTGGAGTCCGGGGCTGGACTGCGAATAGGGGCTGGGGTGCGGGGGGTGGGGGTGGGGGGTCAGGACTCAGCATGGGACTCACAAAGAAGCCACAGGAGGCCTTGACAGTAGGTGCCTCAGGGAACTTGAGGGCCAGCACAGCTGTAGGAGAGGCAGAGGCAGATCAGGCGGGGCTTAAGGATCCTCCTAAGGGGGACCCAGGCCCTCCTATCCACCTGGCCCCACTTACCACACTGGAACACAGCTTTGACATCCAATCGTTCACACAGGAACAGATCTGGCTTCCGCTTCAGAGCCTGCAGGAGGTGGAGCTGGTAAGCCCAGCCCCAACCAGCTCCAAGGACCATCCCCCCTCCCCACCACTCACCTGCCACCCCAGGCCCCAACTTCACGCACCATAGGTACAGGCTGCCAAAATCAGCCACCCAGCCATCTCTGGGGGACCCAAACCACCCCACAGTTCAGTCAGGAAGGGAACAGCCAGGGGATGCTACGTACATGTATGTGTACATGAATGCACAGGTGTGTGTGAGAGGTTAAGGGGGTGGTCACAATACAGAAAGCTTGGGTCCCAAGTCACTCCCTAAGCAAACGCTTTTATTTTCCCCTCCATCAAGGCCAGACCTCCTGCAGGCTCCAGGTAGCCAGCAGTGACTGCTTTGATTCAGAGGCAGTCAAAGCCCCCTGGATTTGTTAACAGGACAGCAGAAAGAAGAGATGGCAGCTGGATGTGGAGCCCAGTCCAACAGCCCCCACGTCCCACCTGCATTCTTCAGACACCCTCCAGCTTAGGAGGAGGAAAAGTAGGGTCGGAGCCTTGGAGCCATGGCCCCACCATTCAACCGGGATACCCTGAGTCCAGGCCCTTCTCAGCCACACCCAGCTCAGGAGTCAGTGCTGCCATGTGGGGGGAATGAGTACAAGGGGCAGAAAACCCACCCCAAGTGGTACTAGGACACGACTGGCACATCCTCAGGTCACAGGAGATGCTCTGCACAGCTCCAGCAGTTATCAAACACGGCTGCTCCCCACCAGCCCCCCAACACATACCATGTAGACCCCCAACCCTCCAGCCCCTCACATACCTTCCACTCCCGTTCATGTGCAAGCACCCCCACACTCACCCTCTCTGGAAACACCCTACTTACCCTCAAACACACCTCTATCACATCCCTTACACATACTTTCTCACATTTGCAACACACCCTGCTACCTATTCACATCCCTCAAACGCCCCACATTCCCCAGTCATGTCCACATGCCCACACTTTCAAGCTACCCAGTCCTCTAGCACATGTACCCTCCTAACACACCCATCCACACACACACACACAAACGCCCACACCCCCAAGGACGCACCCTCAGTTACCCATACACATGTCTATCCAGGCCCAGAACACACTCCCTATTCCCCCCTCCTCCTCCGCCTCACTCCCCCACCATACTGTAAGTTCCAAGAGAGTAAGAACTATGCCTGTTTTTGTTTACCATTATACCCTCAGCACCTGGCAGAGCACCAGATGTGTATCACACACTAAGTATTTGTGGACTGATTAAGCGAAGGAACACATCATTTACCCCAACCCACAGGATCCCCACCATGGTCCCCACACTAGCCCCATGTCCCCACAGCTCACCACATGTATCTTCCACAACACACATTCCCTGTATGTCAGACATATCGACGCCACAACATACACTCCCTCCCCCAAATACGCTCTCACAGCCCCACACACACACCTCCAACACATGACACTGCTTCAAAACCCATCAATGCCTAATGCACACCAACATACAACATGCATCAGTGCACGTGCCCACACTTCAACTACATATTTTTCCCGACACAACACACATACTACTTACAGCAGCTATGTGATTTGTTTCCAAACCAAACTAAACTGAAAACATACGAATAAGGTCCACCCACTTACACATGCACCAAACACAAACACATCCCAACGCAGCCTCACAGTGGAGCCAGCACCCCACCTCCCAACAGCAGTACAACCTGAAGCCCAACTCCTGGCTCCACCCCAGCACATTCACCTTTGGCCCCTCCCTTCGGAGCTCCTCCCAGCCACCTCTCCAGAGCAGGTGGGGGGGTGGGGGCACTGAGGCAGGCAGTTCCCCGGCAGGAGCACGGGACAATGAACCCTAGGCCCTTCAACTCCGATCTCACCCCTGAACTTCAAGGGCACCCCAGCTACGAAGGAGCTGCCGGGTACAATTACTCCCCCTCCCCCGCCCAGGCCAGCCCAGCTCCCTCCCTTTGGGATCGCCTCTCCCTGGTCTTGGTGGAAGAATGAGCTAGTTGAGGCAAAGGGGCACTAAAGGAGGATGTTGGGTTGTCAACTTCCACGGAAACAGATGAAGAAACTCTATTCAACTGAACAGAAAAAAAATTTGTCAACAGAAAGCTAAAAATAGGCTTAAATTGAATTTCAACATAAGAGAAAGAGAAAGAGAGAGAACAGAACGTGAATGAATAAAACTAAAACACACCTGTGCCAGGAGTTGCATAAATGAATCAACAATATCAGGATGATCCCTGGGCCCTAAAATATAATAAAGATGGAACTTAAGAAAAAATTATACAAACAGCAACTCAACCTCATATAGTTATGTGGGACTGAGAGCCTGCAGGGAGACAGCGTGGGGGCACATGAGCAGCAGGAAGCAAGATAAAGAAACAAAACATACAAAAACCATGAACTGGGAGAAGCCCAACAGAAAGAGACGGCAAAGTGAAGGACGGGCCTGCCCCAGCTCCCTCCCAGGGGTCCTTCCACCTACTCCCCACTCCTCCTCAGGCCAGTCCCCCCAGTGAGCCTTTGGTGCTGAAGCAATGTTGGACTCCACAGAGCTGAAGAAACAACCCCCACTCTTGCTGCGGCCTCTGGCTGGCTGGGGTGGCCCTACACTGCCTTCTAGCACATTTCCCCAACACTAGCCATCAAAGAGGAGGGCAGGGATGGCGAGAGGTTAGTCCTTGGTAACTCCCTTGGGGGCCTAGCTGAAGGCCCTGGAAAGGCCAGGGTATCAGGGCCTGAGCAGGTGCCCCCTCACTTCCATGGCCTTAGGGCTCTTGGTCTGGCCAAGGGAAGGACTCCCTGGGGTCCACTTAAACCAGAGGACTCCTCCTTGGCTAGGGCAGAGTCCAATATGCTGTGGGGATGGCTGGGCAAGCCACCAGCGGGGCCTCGGGGAAGAAACTGTATCATGAGGCCAAAAATGAGAGCCCCACCCAGCAAAGCCCCTCCACATGGACACCGACTGAGCAGAGAGCCAGGCTCAGGGCTGAAAACCAGCTCCCACCATCTGGACACACAGAGAAAGAGGGAAACCAGTCAACATGTCACCCCATGGTGCAGTGGGAGGGCAGAGGCTGAGAACGGAATGGCAAGACCAGGACAGCATAACAGGTAAGGGGGCCGTCCTGTCCTGCAAGACAACCAGCAAGCCCAGCAAGTATGATTGATTTTGGACACTACTCTGCCTCCAGTTCTGTTGACACCTGTGGCAAGGACAAGGCATGTGTCTAGAGCTCCTGGGCTGTTCCCCTTTCAGGAGGAGGCGCTGCACGAACATCTGCCTGATACACCACTAAGGAGCCGTGTGATCTTGTGCAAGCCACAAATGCCCAGTTTCCCCAACTGTAAAGTAGATAATTATCTCTTCCATGCTTCCTTTTCCAGGCTATGAGGAGCCACTGATAAAGCCCATCTCTTTCACATCTGAGCCCTGATTTACTCAGGTCCTGGAGAGTGAGGCCCATGCCCTATGCCAGGGTCCCCCTACAGACAGCATGTTTGACATTCGGCAGCCACCCTGCTAGTGGCTGGCCCCAGATAGTGAGGAAGAAAGGTTCCGAGGGCAGGGAGACCTTACCCTCCTTTCTTCAATAGTGTCTGATACCTACTCTATGCTGGCCTTGTTCTGGGCACTGAGGCTGCAGAGAGAAGAGGCTCGACCCTGCCCTTGAGGGGCTTAGTCTAGGGAGAGAGACACACACATGAAAGCTGATTATTGAGTATGATTGGTACTATATCAGCAGTGTGTACATGATGCAGTTTCAGCATAAAGTCAGAAGCACCTAGTTCTGCCCCAGAGAAGCTTCTAGGACTGATGCATAAGTAAGGCATGGAGGAGTAAGAGCTCACCCAGTAAAGGGCACAGGGCATTCCAGTTAGAGGATCAAATGGGACATCAAAGGGAGAGGTCAGTGTGGCTAGACTGCTGGTGTCTCAGGGACACTGGCAGAAGACACTGAGGAGTATGCAGGGGCTGCACCATGTGGGTGGGAGCAGGGTGAGAACCTGAGGCAATGGACAGCCAACGAAAGGGTTTCCGGCCAGAGAGGGAAAAATACTCAGATGTGTGTTTTCTAAAGAATATTACAACTGCAGGATGCAGAATGGACTGCAGGGAAGGGCAGATGTCAGGAAAACCAGTTAGAGGACTATTGGGGCAACCCAGACACTGATGTGTGATCATGGAGGGAGGGGAGAGAGGTGGGCGGTCTGCAGGATAATCAGGAGTCAGGACCACCTAGATTTGCCCCTGACTGGATGCAAGAAGTGGGAGAGGTGGAGTTAAGGATTTAAGGGTGGCCACACTTGGTTTCTGGCTCAAGTTTCTGCTCGCTTTGCACCTACCCATGGGCCACTGGAGCAGAGGCCAGCATCATGGGACCACATAATGATGACATCAGCAGAGAGCGCTCTGGCTCCAGCTGAAACCCCTGGTAAGCCTCAAACCTGCAACCACAAATCCAGACAAGACTCATGAGGCTGGTGGAGCAGCGCTGTTTCTTTTCCAAGTTAGAAGCCTGGGTTAGACAGCAGGGGAAGCCTAGAGCCCCCTGCTCCCAGCACTCTCAGGCAGAGGGCCACAGAGAACGGGGAGCTGGGACCACAGCCAAAAGCTTTGGGCCTAAAAAGGAATAAGCCCCGATGCAGGGAAAGGAACCAGAACTCCCTGAGTACTTCATGTGCAAAAACCCCAAGCCAGGGGACCAAGAGACACTGCTTTCATACCTATAACAATCCTATCAAGTACACGAAATCTCTATTTCACAGACATGGAAACAAAGGCTCCGCAAAGGTAAGTGACTTGCCCAAGGTCACACAACTAGTTGGTGGTGATGAACTTAGAATCTAGGTCTATCTGACTCCAAAGCCCATGCTCTTTCCACTTTTCATTATATCCCAAAGAAAAGGAGCCAGCCTAGTATCCCAAGTCCCTCAGAGCTCTGGCCCCATCTCCCCCCACATCAAGACTGGCCCTAAATCCAGCAGGCCAGTAGAAGACACCATTCACTCTCTTATCCACTTCAACCTACGGTGTCACTACTTGGAGGGTGACAATTGTGCTGTGCTTGATCCCCCAAGTTTCCCACCAAGTCCCATGTGCAACTCAGGGGACAGAGGAGAACAGAGTGGGCAGCTTTGGCTCCCCAATCGGGGAAGCAGAGGCAGTGGCAGTGGTGGCAGTGGCGGCAACAGCAGGGACCCTGGTCAGGACCTACCTTGTTGGAAGAGAGTGAGTGTGATGGAGGTGACGAGCAGGAAGAGGGCCTCGATTGGGGGAAAGTGGGCAGGTTCATGAGCAAAGATGTGGACCAGCTACAACAAAGCAGGGAATGCTGGTCAGCTGAGGCCCTGTCTCACCAAGAACTGGCCAGCATCCCTAGAATGCAGGTCAGGATCCCTGCCAGGACAGCCATCCACCCCACTCTACCCACCACCCCATCCCTGGGTCAGACCTCTAACTAGGATGAAATTTAAAACACTGCTGCCTCAATCAGAAGGCCCACCTGTCGAGTGAGGTCAAGAGCAGAGGCCTGGGGGATGGTGCTGTACATCCGACCCAGCATCTCACACAGCTGTGGCACCATGGGGGCAAAGTCATCCAGCAGTGTCTTAACAGACTTCTCAAAGATAGCGCACACCGCCTTGGGAAAGAAGCAAAGGGGCCCAGGAAATAGACAACAGTATTATGATCATCAAACCTGCCAAGAGACTAGATCTCAATTATTCCAACCCCTAAAAAGAAGTATAATTATGTGATGTGATAGGGATTCTAATTATCATACAATGGCAATCATATTATAATCCATAAATGTGTCAAATCAACATGTTGTACACCTTAAATTTATACAATGTTAACCGTCAAATATATTTCGTTTAAAAAAAAAAAAGAAAAAAGGAAGAAAGCAAAGGGGTCCTGGTTAGCAGGTCACAATCACCCAGAACACAACTGAGGCTCTGCACAGAGGAGGCCTAAGGTGGGACCCTTACCTATAAGGCCTGGCCTGGCCCTGCGAATCAAGAGAGGTAAACAAGCCTGACCCTCACCCTGAAAGGCAGCAGGCCAAAAGGCCTTCTCAGAGGAGCACGGGATGGAACTTTGTAACTCAAGTCTTGCTACTTACATCTCCACCATTTCCTCTCAGAGAGCAGCAATAGTAAGAAAATCCTGAATTGAAAACGGACCAAAGGCAGGTCTCTGATTACAAGGTGGATCCCTGACTGTCACTCAGCCCCAACATCATAGTTCTTTGGTCAAGGACTTCCTGTGATATTGGAAAGTTCTGAATGTCTTCCCAAAACATTCCTTGTGTCTGTGAGGCAGGATTCACCTCCTTTATTTTCTCCAGACCACTGTAAGCCAAGATGGGGCAGCAACACCTTCATCCTGCTCCGTATCTAAGCAAAGTCACGATGGGGGCAGAGAGCAAGGATTGAGGCTCACCTCCACCACTTGGGCATCATTCAGCCATTTGCTCAGCACCTTCTGGATAAGCTGGAAGACCTGCTGCAACACCACAACCACCTGAAGACACAGAAGAAGTGAGGTGCCCCACCACCACTCTCACCTACCCCAGAAGGACCCGGTAGTACAAAGTTGGCCAGAAGTTCAAACCTATTACTCCAGACTGCATGTTGAGGACTCAATGGATGGGACCTTGGGGGAAGGAGTGGTGTGTTGAATCCCCCATGAATAAAGAGGATATCCTGAATTCTAGGGATCATTTTAGAGGAAGCCTCAAAGTGCAAAGCAGGGATATTATGAAGGCTTCAGAAGATTATTAAAACTTTGTAACTTTTAAGAAAAATCACTCCCTATCCATTTCTGCTCAGAAAAATCCTTTCAGTATCAAAAGCCTATGCGTTAGCCCCTGAAGTGGAGATGCTGTCTCACTCAAACAGGCTTAGGGTGCAGAGCCCCGAGGGATGCACAGATATGGCAACTTACGGAGGAGCAGAGAGCAGACTGAGGTCCTGGGAGGTAAGGGAAGGCAGGACAATGACTACCACGGAAGGAGAAGGGGCTCTGTAGGAGGACGCTAGCCCAACTTTGGTCTAGAGCCAAAAGGGCAACTGAAACTAAGGTGGAGAGCTGAAGAGAGAAGCTAGGATACTGTGGCTCCCTTTTCTCCAGGAGAAACCCTGGGAACAATAATCCAAGCAGTGTCTCACATTTATACAAAATTTTACTCAAGACCACATATGCTACCCAGCATCATTCTATTGAGATAAGCAAGCCAGGTAGTCTGATGTTCATAGTTTTGAATGGGAAGCTGAGCCTTGCTCCAGATCAAACAGCTTGTAAGTGGTCACCCCAACCCCCTGTGCCTGAGCTTATCACAGTACTTATCACACTGCTTTGTGACAATCTGTTTATGTATGTTTCCTCTAGACTGGGAGCAAGTCGAAGGCAAGAATTATTACACGTGGAGCATGTAAGCATCCCCAGTGCCCACAGGGGATGGTGAGTAGCCAAGTAGAAGACCCCCTGGAACTGGGGGTCAAACAGGAACCCATAATTACATCATTTATGGGGTTGAAGGATAATGTCAATGTCTCCTATGAGATGGAGGAACCACAATGACATCACCCTGGTTGGGCTGGGGACAAAGACAAATATCACCCACAGGGCTGGATGACACAATGATATCACTCCCTACAGAATGAGGCACAATGATAAGGTCATTCACAGGGTCAACACACCAAATGCATCATGCCCCATGGGGCCAAGGGAACCATGACAATATTATCCATAAAGTTGGGGAGTAACAATGATATTCCCACAGGGTATGTGGTAGTGTGTGTGTGTGTGTGTGTGTGTGTGTGTGTGTGTGTGTGTGTTGGGGGTGGAGGGCAATGGCAACATCACCCACGGGGTTGGGTCCCTGTGGCACTGGCAGCTTCCGGAGCTCAGGGCCTTCATGTTCATCCTCATGATGACTGACATCCAGCGTGGTGAAGAGGTTGGAGAGAAGCCCCAAGATGTGGACAATGGCCAGTTTGTTGGAAGGATTAGGCTATGGGGAGAATCAAACCAAGCTCTGGATCTCTGTGGCCCAGCTTGGCCCCCGGACCCCAGCCCTGACTGTCAACTCCAACCCCACTCCCCAACAGCCATAGCCCACACAAAGGGCAACCCACCCCTGCCTTCTGGCCACACACACACACACACACCAGCTCACTCACTATCTCCTCTGCCAGCTTCTCCAGCTGCTGGATATAGGGTGAGATAAGGGAGTGCAGGTTCTTAAGGATCTCCTCCACCTGCAGGGCTGACAGCAGGAAGCCCAGTGCCTGCATCAGCCACATGCACTGGCTTGTCTGTGGGGCAGAACATGGAAAGTCAATCCTGGATACATCTGGATGTGGGTAGGAAGAATAAACCTCTTGGGGAAGCTTCCAAGAACAGAGAATAAAAGACAAGGGGTAGGAAAAGGCAGAAGAGGATTTCTGCAGATTCCCATAATATCCCCAAGGACCCCCTAGAAACTTCTGGGCTCACCTTGTGGATCTGTTTCATCAACACATCCTGGAGATAAACAGAAGGAATTTGGTATCAGCACAGTGCAGTGTGCCCTGAGACCCAGCCCAACCCTAGCCCACACATACCTGGGAGACAGCCACAATGTTAGCAGCATAGGGTGGCAGGTCATACTTGCATTCTCGGCAGATCTTCTTGAGGGTGGACACTGAAGAGACAGAGAGCTCAGGATTGCCTAGGGCATGCAGTACGAGGGGCAGAACGCTGTTGATCATGACGGGGTGGTCAGCCAGCCATTCAGACAGAGCTCCTGGGGGAAGAAGGGAGAGGGGAAGATATCTGAGGCAGGCCAGGCTGGCTTTGTACCATGTCCCTGAGAGGCAGGCAGAGCTTCTGGCAGATCAAATTACAGCCCTAGAGCTGAATAGGCAAATATGCATGCACATGCTCAAACAGGAGCCTTATAGCTGAGAAGCAGGAAGAAGTTACTCAGAAGAGGTCTAGCACTGCTGTTCCATTGACAGCAAACTAGCTTCACTGAATTGCAGCTCGGAACACTGTAGGAAGGACCCCTAGATGTGCCAGGACAGCCAGTTGGCTGCAATGCTGATTGTGTGTGTGGGCATGTGTGTCTCTCCCATTTTGGACAGGAACCAGCAGGCCAACTATAGCTGGGGATGGGGTGCCTGTGGCTCTGGAAATGTGCTCATGGGTGTGTGCCAGGTCTCACCAATGGTGAACATGACAGTATCCGCCAGCTGCACGTTGCTGATGCTGATCCGTGGAATGAGGCCAATGAGCCCAGGCACCACATCAGAATAATTGACATCGATGGTCTCTGCGATGGATTGGAAGCCATAGAGCAGGGCCTCTGTGTGCTGAGGAAAGAGGGTGCCACTGGCTTGGCTGAGGAGGAGGGTGTGACAGTTCTGGGAGGGCTGAGGGAATCAGGCTTGGGAGGTACCTGCCAGGAGTAGGGCTCCTCTGAGCTGGTGAGCAAACGGCCCAGCTTGTCATAGAGGTTGCTGAGCAGCTCGGCCCCCAGCATCTCATACACATACATGAGCGTATCTGAGATGTCCACCCTAAGAAGTAGACGAAGACCTTATACACTGCCCGGATCCTGCTCCCAAGCCCAGGAGCCCACCCCAGCTCCCTCACAACTGCAAAAGTGCCTAGAGAATAGAGAAAGGAGCCTCAGGATTCAAGAGGCCTGGTCTTGGGCTCCTCCCCTCATTGCCTTCATTATTTCAGGACTCTATTTAGAGGTAGGATTGGCCTGCTACCATCACCTGTAAATTCGGAACTGCTCCTTCTCATCTGAGGACCAGAATCCATATTCCTCATCAGAAGGAAACTGGGCCTTGTGCAGAAGCACATCCACCAGCTGGAAGTAGACCGGCCGGTACACCTGCTGGTACACAGCCTGCTTCTCTGCCTCAAAGGACAGAATGTCATCCTGAGAGAGCCAGGGAAGAAAGTTAGCCACCTCAGCACCAGGCCCAGAAGCCCATGATCTACCTTCTGTCATTACAGCCCAATTCTACTAGAGGCCACATAGACACACCTGCAACGTGTACCAGAAGGTGAGGGTCAGGGAACTGGTGGTCTCATTGACAGGATAGTGGCCAGGGATGCCGGTGCAGAACATAATCATGTTGACAAGGGCCAGGAAGCTCTGCCAGTGCTCCACTTGGTCCAGCAAGGCCCTTGGAAGGAGGAGGTATAGTAAGGTCATTCCCCCTCCCCCAACAGGGCTCCAAAACCACACCTCTGAGAGGTCCCTGCTATCCCACCCCCAGCTGCCCAACTGCTCACCGGGAGTGGTTCTCGCCCAGGGCCACAGCAATGCGACAGATGCCATGGGAGGTCTCCATGTCCCCATTCTGCACTGCCTGTCGCAGTTGATCTTGCAATCCCAGCACCAGCGGGATGAGTTTGAGGAGTGTGTTCACATACCTGGAGGCATGAGGTAAGGAGACCCATCAGAGCTGTCTACCCATCCCCCACCAGCTTTGAGAGAAAGGCACATTCTCCCCGTCTTCCATCAAAGCTCACTCCCCACAACAAACCCAAAGCAGAAAAGAGGTCAGGGCCTACATCGTAGCTTTGATGCTGCCCATGTTGAGAAGAAGCTTCTGTCAGAGACTTCCAGGAGAACTCTGAGAAGGAAGTGTGAGGTCAGTGTTACAGGTTAAATTGTGTCCTCTAATTGGACTTACAGTTGGTGCTGGCACGAGTTAAGACTTCTGGGGAAGTTGGGATGAGATGCACGTATTTTGCATGTGGGAAGGACATATTTTAGAGGGGCCAAGGGGCAGCCTATTATGGGCTGAGTTGTATCCACCAAGAAGATGTGTTGAAGTCCTAATCTCCAATACCTCAGAATGTGATCTTATTTCAAAACAGTGTCATTGCAGATGAGATCACAGAGTAGGGGGGGAGCTCTACTACAGTACAATGGATGTCCTTATAAGACAACCATGTGAAGACAGAGGCTCATAGGGAGAATGACATGTGATGACAAAGGCAGAGATTGGAGTCATGCAACTTAAAGCCAAGGACCACCACAGATTGCCAGCAAACAAACAGAAGCTAGGAAGAGGTGAGGAAGGATTCTCCTCCGGGTTTTTAGAGGAAACCGACACCTTGATTTTGGACCCCCAGCCTCTGCAACTATGAGACAATAGATTTCTGTTGTTTATTTTTTTTATTATTTTTTTATTATTTTTTTTCAACGTTTATTTATTTTTGGGACAGAGAGAGACAGAGCATGAACGGGGGAGGGGCAGAGAGAGAGGGAGACACAGAATCGGAAACAGGCTCCAGGCTCTGAGCCATCAGCCCAGAGCCTGACGTGGGGCTCGAACTCACGGACCGCGAGATCGTGACCTGGTTGAAGTCGGACGCTTAACCGACTGCGCCACCCAGGCGCCCCAGATTTCTGTTGTTTAAAGCTGCCCAGTGTGAGGTACTTTATTACAGCCCCTCCAGAAAACTAATATAGACAGTGTTACGGGAGACTGAACAGGATGAGTGTCAGAGGAGTTAATACAGGCTCAGGAGCCCTGATAAAGACTTCGGAAGGCACCGACAGCCATCAGTCCCCACCTTCCATTCCACTCCCTACCACCAGATCCTAATTCCTATGTACTCTGGTGGCAGTATGAAGGGACAGCAATAGATGATGAACTAGGAGATAGCTAAGAGGAAACATGGACAGGACTTGATGACTGATTGAATATGACAATGGGGAAGAGTCAAGGACAACTCTCACGTTATTGACTAAACAACTAAGTAGATGGTGGAGCTATTTACTGAGGCCAGGAGGGGTGGGTAGAGGGGAATAGTAATAAATTTAATGGGAGGCCAGAAGGCGATAAGTTCAGTGTTGAGGTGAGATATGCAAACAGAAGTGTCCAGAGAGTTGGATATAAAAACCTGAAGCCCAAGGGAGAAGTTAGAGCAAGAGACATAGTCATCAGCAAACAGCTGGTAACTAAAGCTATGGGAGTAGATGAGCATTGCCCAGGAAGAAAGCGGTGAATGAGAGAAAAGAAGGTGCAAGTCAGAGTCCTGAAGCACAATGATCCTTAAAGGGGAGCAGGGGACACACAGTATACAAAGGAGACTGAGAATGCTAGCTCTATCTCACTGGACCCCTCCCCAGCAGCCTGCTGTGGAGATCAGACTAATCGCATGAAGTGATACTCTCAGAGGGAATCAGATGCTTGAGACCCCTCTGCTACCAATCAAAGTGTCACCATAGCCATCTATGGAGAGGTAGGAGGTTGAAAGTCCAGAGAGTTCTATTTGCATTTGCCCTAAGCAGGCTGCTAGGCCCGTAGTCTCATAACCTCAGGGGTAAGATGAAAACAAGGGGCAACCAGCCCAGATGTCAGCTTTCTCCAAATCCTCATTCTGGTTGGACAAGGTATCCATACCAGGATACTTCCAACCCAGAGACAGCCCTAGAGGGCTCTGCCTGGCAACAGCTGGGATAGCTTCAGTCTCATGACCCTGACACAGGCTGCACCACCAGACAATGGGCACCTTCAGGCCAGACTCTGGCACAGAGAGCAGGGACAGGGCCAAAGTCATGGCGTGCGAGCTTACCAGCAGCTGAGATGGGGGCAGGAGATAGCGCCCTGTCCCCAAAGCGTCCCCACCAAGGCTCCCTCACACCTGCCAAAGTTCATGTACACAGCAGGTACTCAATCTTCACTGAGTTCTTAATTGGTCACATTTGAGCTGCATAATAGGCTAAGTCACAGACAAGTCCAGAAGGGCTCAGAGTATAACTCAAGGTCATATAGCAACTTTGAGACAAATTCCAGGCTGAGGTAGCCTCTTCTGCTGCAGGACTGCTCTTTCAGAGCCCTACCTGAATTTTCCCCAAAGGATCTATGCAAATCTCAGCCCATATCTCAAATTCTAACTGATGGGAGCCCCCAAGAACTTGTCTAATTCACCTTCTCTCCTTCCCCAGCCCCCAGTGAAAGCTTTTCCAGGACCAAAAACATATTTCAGGAAAAAGAAAATTGAGGGAGAGAGAGTCAGGCAAGCAGCAGCAGCTGTGGAAGAGTGGGAAAGAGGGGACCTGAGTGCAAGCTCAGCCAAGGGGACAGCCAATATTAGGACACCTGGGAAAGGCAGTGGCTGGATAACCCAAGAGGCAAAACCACAGGTGACTTTCTCAAGCCAAAGTCTAGGAAGCTAGACTAGACAGAGCAAGACCCAAACTCTGACACTAGGCTGGTGCAGCACCCCGGTGGGGGAAACCCTTGTTTAGATTTCCCACCACCTGGGCACCTATTCCTGAGAACTATGCACACAGAAGAGCAGGTCTGAGGCTTCCAGAGGTTTCTAGGTTTGGGAGAGGGAGATAGAGAGGATGTCTTTAAGCCCATGGCTGAGACTGGGTTCAAGAGGCCTAGTTCTGTTGGTCAGCTCAAGCTGCCGGGGCAGGGCTGCTGGGACTTGCTGGCTGCCACTCACACTGAGCTCAGCCCAGACCTGCAATTAGAGCTCAGGGAGGAGAGCTGAGAAAATGGGGAGAGTTGCTAAGCAACCATGGGGGCTGCAGCCAATGGGCGCTCAGGAGGCTGTGGGTTCCCTCACTGGCTCCTTGTTCGCTCATTCGTTCAGAAGAGAAGAGGCATCAATTACCTGCCAAAGCCCTCGAGACCGGCTGGGCGAGTAAACCTGGGTGTATCCAAGGACACCCCACATCACCCATGCACTGGCCCTGGCCAATTCCCTTTAGCTACCAACTGTCTGAGTGCAGCCGGCACTCGAGCTTCAAGCTGCCAAGAAAGGCTAGTCCTGGGACTTGATACCCACCTTGAGTTGGAAAACCTGGGAAACCATGGGAAAGATACACTAACTGCCAATGCAAAACGATACCAAATACTAACAACTGCCTTTTATGGGGCGTGCAAGAACCAGGCTAAACCTTTCATAGACATTTTCTTCTTTGATTATCCTATTAATATCAAAATATCCTTTATAGAATACCAGGGGCAGACCCTGTGCACATTGTCCTATTTAAGCCTTTACAACTCTCTCAGGTTAATATGATCACACCCATTTTACTGATGAGGAAACTGAGGCTTAAAAGCGACTTATCCAAGGTATGGGACCTAGTAAACAGACCATCTGGGATTCAAACTCAGACGTGACTAATGCCAAGGCTAGAGCCATTAACCACTCTCTGATGCCATCTCTTTCAATGTTTTTCCCCTCCAAGTCTGCTAAGGGTTTCTAAAGCCCTACCTCTGAAGTGTTAGTGTCTCCAGTCTTGCCATGGCCAATCCAACTTATACCAAACATCTCATTATGGCATTTTCTCTACTTGAAATCCTTTAATATCTTTACATCATCCTCAGGATGAAGACCAAAATCTTAAGCCTGGCTGACAAAGGTCTTACATAATCTGGGCCCAGACCTCCCACAACTGGCCCTTAAATCCTGCTGTTTAATCACCACCACTCACCAGGCTTTCTCAACACCCTTTCTTTGCTAAGGCTCTTTAAAGCACACTTCCTCTGGGAAGCCTTTCACAGTCCTAAGACCAGGTTAAATGCCTCCTCTGGGCTCTTACAGTCCCCCCACCATTTTCTCTATCATAGCGTTCATCTCGTTGACCACACTTGCCCCTCCATGTGTCTGTTAGACTGTGAGCTCCTGGCTTGCTGAAGTCAACCCATTCATCTTTATGCACCTGGTGCTCAGCACAGGACCCAAGACACAAAGAGGCACGCAACAAACATTTGCTGCACAAACACCTCGCTACACTCACCTTCCTTCAAGTCCTTAAAGGTACTATGGTGCTGTGCACCAGGGGCCTTTGCCCCTGCTATAGTTCCTGAAGCCTGGAGCGCTCCCTCTTCCCCTGAACTCCCCCACCCTGCTCCCACCTCTCAGGCAACTCCTACTTTTCATCTGTTCAAAAAACACCGAATGCTACCAAATGCTGCCAGGCACAATGTGACAAAATAAAATGATTCAGTGTCTGTCCTCACAGAGCTGAGAGACCAATGAGGAGACATACATTAATTTATGATGAAACTGTGTTACAGGCTAAGAAGGAAAAACACTAGAAGCTCTGAGATACAATAATAGAGTAGACCAAACTTAGTCTTAAAAATCATTGAGGGCTTTCCTAAGATAATGAAATTTCAGTTGAGGTAGAGATGATGTGCCAAGCACCTGTGATGGTTCAGAAGCTAGAAGGAGCATGGAACATTCAAGCAACTGAAAAGACTGTATGAGAGTGGAGAAAGGAGCATGACATGAGAAGAGGTTAGAGATGCCATTCTGTGCAGCACCTTGTGGATCACGTTAAGGATTCTGAACTTTATCCTAAGAGCTGCGAAAAGCCACTGAAGGGTTCTGAGCAGAAAGGACAAATTGGATCCTCCTTTTCAAAAGATCACTCTAGCTGCTCGGTGGACAGTACGGGTACAGGAGTAAAAACCAGGGGACTAGTGAAAAATCTCTGCAATCATTTGGGGAGAGAGATGATGACAGCTCGGACTAGGGTGGTGGCAGTGGAGATGGGAAAAATAGATTTGCAGTATGGTCAGGAGCAGAACAGCCAGGACATGGTGACTGATTGGTTGAGAGAAAAAGAAAGAGTCAAATATTTTAACTGAATAATCTGTTGGATGATTAGTTGTGTCTCCCTCTCTGAACCATAAGGACAAGGACCATGTCTTGTTTGCCTCCTTGTGTATCTCCAGCATAGGACCAGGTATGCAGTAGGCACTCAATTCGTGTTTATTGAACAGATAGATGGAAGGCCAACCAAACTGTTCTTTTCTGGGAAGATGGGGACCAGCTCACCTCTGGGCATCGGGCTGTGAAATGGCATTGACAATGGCCTCCACACTGCTGTCGAAGAGCTCCGAGTCCTGCAGAGCAGCAAAGGCAGCCTGAATAAGCGCCTCACAGTCCTGCAGTGGCACCTCCAGCTGCACCCAGCTGGAAAAGCACTTGAGCACCTTCTGACGCACACAGCTGGGTGAGCTGGGCTGCTGTAGCAGCTGCTCTAGCAACGGGAAGACAGCCCCGCACTCCACTGCCAGGCTGGCCCGCACCAGGCCTTTGCGATACTGGGGCAGGCGGCTCGTCTGGAACTCCTCAGGCAGCACTGTCAGCAGCTCTAGTAGGGCCAGGCAGCGGCCCTGACCATCCACCGGTGAGTCCTCAGCCTGGAAGAGCCGTACCATATCTGCCACAGCACATGGCCAAGCATCAGGCATCATGCTGAGAGCCAGGGAGGCCAGTGCCACGCACAGCCGAGTCAGCACGATCTTGGAGCCACTAGCAAAGTGGGTGATCTGGGTGAAGAGCTGTGCCTTTAGACTTTCATACTGGTCAGTGGGGATGTCACTCCAGTAGCGAGAGATCTTGATGTGCAGGGCACTGGCCCCAAAGTACTGGATCTCAGGCACCTTGTCGGGCTGCAGTAGCTGCCAGCTGAAGTGCCAGGCCTGTGGGGAGACCTGGGCCTGCATCAGCCACTTCTGAGCCAGGTTCTTGTTCTCAATGTTGGGATCGTAGTAGAGCTGGTGCAGCGCCTGCAGGACAGCACAGGACTGAGCAGGTGTTGGCCACTCTGGATCCTGTCAGAGCCCAGAACTTGGTCTTGCAAATCTGCTCTCTCTTTCTGACTGAGGGGCTGAGCAGGTAGAGCTCACTGTTTCCTGAGCCGAGGATCCTACTGATACCCGGAGAGCCTGAACTCTGCCCATGCTCTACCATGTTGTCATTATAGCCAAACATTAGGGGTTCAGAAAGTGAACCTCCACAGGAAAGCAGAAAGAGGCTGAGCTCCCCAAAGGGGAGGCATTTGAGGTAAAGGACAAGGCCCAGGTTGAAGGAATGGCTCCACAGGGATAAAGCTAAGCCTGAGAAGAGCATGGAACAGCCTGAAGGGCCCTGACCCTCCCAGGCACAGCTGGTCCCATCAACTCCAAAGGTTCTATTCAGCTCCCCCAGGATCATCCCTCGGTCACTCCAGATGCTGGCACCAAAGCCATTGTGAAATCTGAGCACGACTAAGGCTTTGCCAGGCAGCCTTAGGCCAGAGGCATACTGGAGGGGAGGGTGAGAACACCCCCCAGAGAGCGCATGTGAGGGTCCAAAAAGCTGGTCAAGAAGTCTTGGCTGGCAGCCCTGGCAAATGCCTTGCCTGGAGCTCTCAACTCGCCAAATCCCCAGGGTCCCAATTCCACAGGGACTTCACACAGTAAGAAAACAGTGGTTTGTCTCCCTGGTTGCACATGGAAGAGTGTGCCACCATGCCAACAGCACCCAGCCCCAGGGGGTGGAAGGGTGAGGTCAGGACTCTGACCCCCTAAGCAAGCTCCATCCAAGTAGACTTAGCCCTATTTGTACCTCTGACAGCAGCTTATGTTTACAGTCCCTTTTTGGCTCCTCAGGGATGCTGAATTCAGCAGGCAAAGAAGCAGTAGGGATGGATTTTCACCATTTGGTATGGCAAAAGGGGCTCAAAAATAACAAATGAGTATCTGCAACCATTCCTTGCTTTCCATCTCCCCATTCAACCCAGCAGGGAGGCATTTCTGCATCCCAGGCCTCAGGGGCAGAACCCAGAAAAGAACCAGAGAAGCAGTTCAAAAAAGATGGGCTGGGCAGTGGGAGAGCCTGGGAAGACCATGGCAGGAAGCTACGTGGACAGGTGAGCAGAGAAGGATCCTGCGGCTGCCAGCAGGACCGGATCCCTTAGATCCATTACCAAAGAGAGGGGGTTAGCCCTTCCTGCCTGCTCGGGACTCGTCTGGCCTCCATCCAATACAAGAAGGATCCTTCCCTAAGAAAGAGTGAAAACATAACCCAGACTGTTTCAGTTCCAGGTTATTTTCTGAGCCCCTGGGTCACAAAACAGGTCCAGCATGGCTCAGCATCGGTATGGTTCCCGAGGGCTGAGCTGTAGGTCTCCTGGATTCCTGGTTTCTTACTGCACTGCTCATGCAGTACCCACGGAGCTGGAGAATAGCCAATCCGGCCGGAGGTCTAGGCTATCAGCACCCTGAAGGGACCAGCCCAAGACCCTAGAGTATCCAAAGAGAACCCATGTCTAAGGAAAGCCAAAAATAGCCCATTAGGACACCATAACACTGCTGTCCACGCCTGCCCAGAGAGACAGCAAATGCCAGGTGCTCTGGGGGCACCATCCCAGCAGGCACCCAGCCCAGGCCTGGGCTCTGGCATTAATGTCAGTCCCCAGAACTTCTGCTCTGTCACCGGTATGCCCACCCCCGGGCCCTCATACCTTCTCCACGTTCTCCACAGTGAAGTCCAAGGCTGGTGCTGCTCCAGCCCCTGCAGCCCCAGGCTGCTCCTCCCGCCGCTCCATCTTTGCTCCCTCCCCAGCAGGGAGGTGGACCCTGACCTGTCTCCTGCCCCAGCCCCTTGGCTGCTGGCCCCGTGCTAGACCCCAGCTTGGGTGCCCAGGGAGCGGTGGGGTGACAGGGGGCCCAGGGCGGGCATGGCTGCCGAGGCCTCCCCACCTCGGATGGGGATGGGGGGCTTGCCAGAGGCCAAAAGGAGTGCTCTTAGGAGGAGACCAACTGAGGGGGACTCTGAGGAGGGAGCCGTCAGTGAAGAGTTCACAGGCGGGGGTCCTGGTGGTAGGTCACGGCTCTGTCCCCAGACTCTCTGAGGAGGGAGTCACAGGGAAGGCAGGCCTGTGGGGGAAACCGAGCCCCTGGCCCGTGAGAGGTCACAGGGTCGATGGCCTGTACCCACAACACCCTGGTCTGAGTGCGCTCTCGGGTCCTACGAGGAGGTCACGGGGTGGGGGGTGACGAGGGAGAGAGCCCTTCGCGGGTTACGGAGGCGTCCGACGAGGCGCAGGGGTGCAGCTTCGCGAGTCTGGGGCGAAGAGTCCGTAGAGTTGAGGGGCTGTGGCAGATCCCCTCCGGCCGGCCTGGCCCGCGCTCTTCTCACCGCCCGGCTCCGGCCCCGCTACTGCCGCTGCCGCCGCCCCAGTGACTGACAGACGAGCCGGCCCGGCCGGGACGGGGCGGGGACCTCAGCGAGGCGCGGGCTGCCCCGAGCGCCTGTCCCCGGCACCGCCGACTCCGGCGCCGCCCTGCCCCCGCGCCTGCCCTGGCCCGGCCCGGCCCGGCACAGCCCGGCCAGGCACAGCGGAACTGCGCGGAAACTCATTCCGGGTCCCTGGCCCTGTCCTCGCGCCGGCCCGCGCGCCCCCGGAGCAGGCGACGGCGCGGCGCGCCGCTCGAGGCCCCCGCTGAGCCAAGGCCCCGCCGCTGTGCACCCTGGGAAACGTAGTCCGCATTGCGCCTAGCGGGAGGGCGGCGCCTTGCGGCGGAGGTCGGGAGCACGTGGGCTGGGGACCCGCCGAACCCCGCCAGCCCCAGACGTTCTGCGGGCGACCGGGACAGACTCGCTGGTGGCGCTGATGAGCAGCTCCCTAAGACTGAAGGGGCCGGTGGATGGAGCTGGGAATCCAGGCTAGAGGATAAGGTGTGTGTTGTGGGTTCGCGGGGAGAAACAGGTCACTGATGCTGCGCTGTCTGCGCTTTCTGGCACCCAGGAAGGGGGCGGTCTGGGAAGAAGGTGTCAGCACCACCCTGAGAAGAAAGGGGGCTTGGCGCGCCTCAGGAGTACAAAAGGACGGCTTTCCGGGCTGCCCAGTTAGCAACCCGGAAACCTCATACCATGGACAGTACTCGGAGAATTTTACGTGCTGCTTGGAAGCAACTTCTCTTTATGAGTAATTAGAATAAGAATAGCTAGGAACAGTACTTTGCATACCTTAGGTCCGATTCTCTCAACATCTCGGAGGTGGGTATTTTAGTCACTATTTTCTGATGAGAAAACCGAGGTTGGGAAGGTTGAACTTTTCTTGTCCAGGGACACACGGCCTAGCCACAGATCTGGTTGGCCACAGACCCCAGCAGTCCCTACCCCTTACACTTGTCCTTTTATTAATTTTTTTAAGTTTATTTATTAATTTTAGTAATCTCTAGGCTCAAACGCACAACCTAGAGATCAAAAGTCGCATGCTCTTCCCACTGAGCCAGCCAGGTGCCCTTTCCTGTTATTAACTCTTGCCAGCTATCCCAGAAGGGGAAATAGTAATCAAAAGGGAAAGGACCTCTGTACTTGTGTTCGGTGGAGGAAGCTGACATTGGCAATAGCTGCCAAGGCCTGAGGTGAATGAAGGCTTCCCCGAGGAAGAGAAACTTGGTCTGAGCTTGAATAATAGAAACTGGTGAGGATGGGGGCTCAATTAGATAGGAAGCAAAATTCAGTGGGAATTGAGACATTCAACAAATTTTAAGTGGGGCTTCAAGTGGGCAGTGATGATTGGATTTGCATTTTAGAAACACCTATCTGTAGTATGCAGAATAAATTGAAGGAAGGGGTTTTTCATCATGTTGGGGGTGCAGGGAGAGAATCCTTGGCTTTCATCAGATTCTCTAAAGGACTCTATACCTCCAAAACAGGTTAAGAACCACTCCTGTGGGGGCTCGTGGGTGGCTCAGTCAGTTAAGCGTCTGACTTCAGCTCAGGTCCTGATCTCGCGGTTCGTGAGTTCGAGCCCTGCGTGGGGCTCTGTGCTGACAGCTCAGAGCCTGGAGCCTGCTTTGGATTCTGTTTCCCTCTCTCTCTACCTCTCCCCTGCTCACACTCTTTCTCTCAAAAATAAATAAACATTAACAAAAATTTTTAAAAAAGAAAGAACCACTCCTGTGAATAAGAAAGGTAATCTCACATGGCACAGACTCTTAGATCTTTTCTCAGATCCCTCAGCTTTCTATGCAACCTCCCCTTTCCCAGAAGAGACCTCAGTGAGTCGGCCAGTGCACATACACTCTGTCATAGGGATTCTAGGCAGGGGAAATAGGGCAACCTTTGGGCAAGAGAGGAGGAAAGCCATTGGCAAGTGCAGGGGGAGCACACGGAACCCCAAACCTCAATTCCTGGATGAAACAAATCTAGAGGGAAGTTTTGGGTGCTCCCTGAAGCTGCTGTAATTTTCAAAGCTGCCTATAGTTTTCTTACAAGAGATGGTGACGTGATACCTCTTTGGAGGACACCGTACCTTAGTTCTGGGAAGATACTCAAATGGACGATGTAGTTTTGCAATTGTGAAACAAAGTCTGCAGTCAAAAATGGAGATAACCAGAACCACCTGTGGCTTTCAGGAGTAGAAAGTGCTCTGCCTGGTAAGATCATGTGTAGATCATGCCTCTAAGTTGCAGGCAGAGCACTGCAGTTCTGGAGCTTGTTTCCTTTGGGGAAAATGGCCTTATTTTTTAAAAGAGGGATTTGGGTTGTTGTGAGCTGCACACCAAGGCCAGTTCTTACAGGAACGTGTCTTCTCGTGGAGAAGGTGCTGTTTCATCTGGGACTTTGTGAGATGTTGGGCACAGTCTCTCTGGGGCCCTGAACGTAGCCTTGAGTTGGAAGGACCCTACTCGTTTGAGGACTGGCAATCTGGGGACTGTTGAGAGCCAGTACCTTTGGCTTGGGTTCTGAACTGGCTCTTACTATGAACATTGTCAGAGGTGCCTTCAGTCGGTCTCCTTTAAGTGGCTCTGAGAGTAGAGATGACCACTGAAGGGCAGGGCCTGGAGGGTTTGGGGGCTAGGCTAGGCTTTCAAGTCTTTCTAGCAGGGGCTCCCTAGGCCCAGTGACCCTTCACTTGACAGGATGGCCCCCTTCACCCTCAACCAAGGCCAGGTAGTGTCTGCAAACTTGTATGGTACTGGTGCCACTTTCTTCAGGTGGAGGTAGGGAGCGCAGGAGACCGAGGATCCTGAATCAGTTTGGAGGCAGAAAGAGGTAAACACCAAAGGAGTGTTTGAAGGCAGTGCAAAAGCACCAGAGTTTGGGGAGCACCTAGAACTGGGGCAGTAAACACAGAAGAGTGGAAGCACAGACTTGTTTCTCCTCCTTGACCCAGAACGCACACAGCCCTCACTCTTGCCTGGGTGAAGGGGCACCTGTGCCAAAGCAGGCACTTAGTTTGGAAGGAATTTTGGTTCGCAGCGTCAGATGCCTGGGGGGGGGGGCGGCCTCAGCTGGCTCACTCTCATGGTGCTCTCATGCGCCCCTGGCTGCGGCTACTGCCCTTGTGCTTACAGCTGCTGAACTAATCTCCAGCCCAGACCTCCCTCCTCAGCTCCAGACCAGCATATCCCTTCCTCCCGACAGCCCCTCCGGATGTCCCATGGTTCCTCAGACTCAGTAGCCTTTCCATATGTATGTCTTATTGCCAAAGAACATCATATTGGACAAATTCACAGGACCCAGGAAACAGGGTTGCATAGGACATGCAGGAAAGCTCAGGATTGCATGGACTTTTAAGATGACTCGGGGGCACTGTGGAAGGCCAGGGTCAGCACTAACCTCTCCTTCCTTCCAGGTGAAAGTGTATACCGCTTAGCTTCTTGTCCTTTTTCATACTATTTGCCAAACTGAACTTAAAAAATAATTATTTAAGTAATTATTTATTGTCTGTCTCTCCTGATTTTAAGCTTAAGGGCAGGGATCATGTCCCTTTCACTTCTGTATTGCTGGTGTCTACCTAGTGTCTGACATATAATAGGTAGTAAATATTTGTTGAATGAATAAATGAATATCTTTGTTTATCACTCAAAATGCAGGTCCCTCTGGGGAGGGGGGAACCTCAGTTCTTTCCTGCCCTCTTATCCCTTGATGCACTCTGCTTCATTCTCCCAAACCAGCCTCCCGCTGCACCTTCTTCCCCACCTTCAGCCTTCTCAGATGCTCTTTTGCCCTGGGTGGCTTCATGGAATGTGGGTAGTGAGCTCCCCATGCTGGGTTGTCTACAAGCAGAGGCAGTGTATGCACCCATTAGGGTGCCCTGGAGGGTAGGACAGATTAGTGACAGTGGGGTGGGGCAATGTGTGGTTTTCTGTGTCATTACACATTGTGAGGCCCCCAGGATGCCTGATGTCACAGGGATAGAGTTTTCTCCACCGGTAACTACAGGTCCCAAGTGCTGGGGACCGTGCAGGGGGGTGTGAGCTGCCCTTTCAGGACTGGTGAACACACCTTTGCCACCCACTCTGCCTGTGTTCTATGCCTCGTGTCCCAGAGCTGCGGGGGCGCCGCCCCAAGCAATGGGAGATCACAGGCCTGTGATTGCTGAGTCAGCCTGAAGTGAGTGGGATGGCCAGCGCATGATCTCCATCCAGCTGCTTTTACCCATCCAGCCCCACTGCCCAGGAAAGGATGTGACAAACCACAGAAGTAAATAAATAACTTAGGAATAATAAATAGAGGTCCAGCAACCACGAAAGAGTACAGGCCCATGTCAGCAATGTGTCTCCTCCAATTCCATACCCCCCAGGGCCTGGGCTGAGGCTGGGACTTCAGAGCTGCTGAGTTCTCCAGAGGAGGAGTCCTGGGTCCGTGGCCTGGTCAGTGCCAGAGTCTGTGAGAAGTGGATCCTAAGGTCTCCACAGCTGAGGTTGTCTGGTGCCTGCAGGGCTGGGACTTGCAGGGCGAGGACCCTGGGGCCGCAAGTCAGTCGTCCTTCCATCTCTCCAGGGCTGATAGCCATCACTCACCTGGCTGAGGCCTCCATCTCTGGCCCAGGGCCCCCCACCCGCCGGCCCGCGGGCTCCTGCGAGAAGGCCCCAGGTTCGAGGATCCGCGGGTAAGGGTACAGTCCGCAAACCCTTGGAGCGATGTCTCAGCCCAGGCAGCCGCAGGCAGTGGCGGAAAGGCGGTCCACGGTCCTCCAGGTGCTGTTGACGTCCATGAAGGAGACCGCCTCGTAGCGCGTGGGTCGGCAGCACGGCTGGCTGATGGGGCGCGAGCCCGGGGGCGGCCGTAGGGCCCCGGCGCCCAGCAGGCTGGCCAGGCTGAGGTCGTGCGGGGAGCGCGCGCGGCGGCAGGAGCCGCTGCAGAAGCGGAAACGCACCAGCTCGTCGGAGCTGTGGCCCAGGCCGAGCGCGCGCACCGGCACCAGCTGCGACCGCAGGCGGCAGCCCCGCGCCCCCGCGGTCCGCGTGCGACTCCCCCTGCCTGGCTGTGTAGACGGCGTGAAGATCGGAA